AAGCCTGCAATCAATATTACAGTAAATAGGGAAAGCCTGAAGGCACTTCCCCCAGACTTTGGAATAACGCAAGGGTGCCTCCTTTCTCCACTCCAATCAAACAGGAGAAAGAGGCTTCAGAAGCCCACGTCACTCCCAGGTAGCTTCCTGGCCTCTGGGTTGTGCTCTAAGATGTGATCTCTCAGCGTCTGCTCCAGAGCCACACTTCCTGATGCCGTGCTCTTCACTAGGGTCATGGACTCTCACCCAAATAAACTGTCTTCTAAAAATGGTCAGGATCATATGTTTTATCACAGCAACAGAAAAGTAACCAAGACAACGGCCTTCTTAACAAGTCTGGAGCACATGGGTTTCCACATTTCTATAAAGACAAAGCTGCATCCTACACCTGGCACTGAATCCAACAAAACAGACCAAAGGCCTGAATGAGGCCTGAAGCTTTCAGAGTGGTAGAGGAAAGCACTTCAAGAAGCAGCGTAGGCAAGGATTTTCTGAAAAGAACTCATGGTACAGGAAATAATTCTAATTGGCAAATGGGATTACATAAAATTAAAGTGTCTGCCCAAAAAAGTAGACAACCTCATAAAGGAAAGGAGGGAAGTGTTGTGGGAACTCATTCTGCCAATAGCCTTGGGGCAGCAAGTTGTAGGGTATGGTATTGTCTGCTATGTGACAGACAATTGATAAGCTGGAGTGGAAGTGTGTTCTCACTCTCTTGCTTTGCTCATGCTTGGTGTGGTCAGAGACCAAGCAGCAGCATCTGCTTGGCTCTGTGTCTGTGAGTCTGTCTTTGCATTGCACCAGTAATAAATTGGTTATCACACTTTTGTGGGTTCGCACTTCGTCTGGCACCCAATGTGGGTTAATTTATATGTATAGCTACCCAGTAAGAAGCCTGAGCCATCGGCCAAACAATTATAAATGATATTAAGGCTTGGGGTGGTTATTTGGGAACTGGAAGGCAGGACAAGAAACCTCCAGCCACATGTGGCTCCCAAACGTTTGTCAAGAACTTCCACATACAACCTGACAAAAATTTAAAAAGGATTCTAAACACAAAAAAACAGGGTTAAGCATGGCTTCCTGGTAGCAGCATTTTATCAGGTGGGCTCTGTCTGCTGGAGGCAAGCAGACACACAGCTCCTTAAAGAAATGTCTTCCTGACTCAGCGTTAGCAGCAGAAACCTGGAGGCTGGGCGGTGGTGGTGCATGCTTATAATCCCAGCACTCAGGAGGCAGAGGCAGGTGGATCTCTGTGAGTTCAAGGCCAGCCCGGTCTACAGAGCTAGTTTTAGGACAGCCAGGGATACACAGAGAAACCCTGTCTCAAAAAACCCTGCATGGAGTTTCTGAGCAGCTTGTGGCATGGACCTAAAAATCTCCCCAGAGTTGTAGTCCGTGCACATGGCTGGCACCAGTACCTCTGCATGAAGCTGGACTCTCAGGGAGACAAGGAATGGAGTGTAGCCAACCACTTATTCCTAACCACCACCACTTAGCATCATGAACACTCTCCTCGTCAAAACAGAATTACAGACACACAAGGACAGATTCAAACAAAAGGGGGGGGCTCACAGTGCATTTGATAAATATGGGCTTGGGAGAGAAAGGATAGAGGATACACAGTCATAGATAAAAAAATTAACGATAATAAACTAAGGTCCTTAAAAAAGAAATAGAGTAAAAAAATATAATGGGCCATGTAAAGATAAAAAATACACAGAGCCTGGATTATGTATGCTATTGTGTTTTCTTTGAATTTTTTGACTGTTAATGAGCTAACTACAGAGTGATATTTGATTGTGGGAGCTGCTAAGCTAAACCAACATAAAGGTATCTTGACTTCAAAATTTCGGTCTAAGGACATGTTACTTTGGAAAAGAGGTTCTGCTTTTGTTTCCACAGAAGATGAGAAGCTGTGGATTCCTTCCAGTCTAATATGGTTTGATCAAACAAGACCCCCAAAATGGTGACCCAGGTGATGCAACATCCATGACAGCTTCAGGGGTTCTGTCTGAGATAGACCAACCACAGAAAATACCCCAGTCAGGACTTAACCATAATTCAAAATTTTCTTTGGGTCCCAATAAGACCACTGTGCCCAACAATCAGCAGAAAGTAGTTTAGAAAACTACTCCCAAATTCTCAAATATTGTTTATAAATGTTTATTTTCATTTAAAGGGGGTTGGTTATAAAAATGGTTAATGACCACAGTCAATCTCTTTCTAAAGAAAAAAAATATGAAATGGAAATGAATACATTAGTATGAATTTTGGTTTATTGATACAAGTTTAAGGTCAATTTTGATACGCCATATGTATATTTCTACTCTTCTTTAAGGCATTGTGTTTATACAGCTCAATTAAAAATGCAATATGTAGTTAAATACAAATTAATAATCATGTATGATAGTCAAACTTGCATTCTTGTCAGGATTTCTAGATATGTAGATACATATTTCAGATGGATAGGTAATCTTCAATCACTTCAAAGACCTACAGAATATGGCATTTAAAATGTTTTAAGAACTTAGACTTTTCGTGAAAGTGAGACATGTCTGCTTCTGGCAGCACCAATTACTTCAAGAGGATGATGGGCATCGAAGAAGCTCCTTATGAAATTTGCTTTCAATATGACCAGACTAGCCATATGGGCAAGACATTGCTCTTGCCCGAACTGTTTGACTCTATGCTGTATAAACTGGACATGCAGGACCCACAGGACAGTAACTGCTGAACTTGCAAAAACAAGACTGGATGGTCCTTCAGGGTTCCTGCTTCACAAAAGAAACTGCCAGACATTCTGCAGGACACAGAAGAAAACAACTGACAAAACTTTGCCAGAGCATGGCTGAACAGATCTTCAAATTTCCTGCTTCATTGAAAAGTCTGCCAGGTAGGGCTAAAGATAGATGCCCCAACATTACAGAAGAACTTTGGGTGACTTCCAGGCTCTGTCATTTCTAGAGTTTTGGAAGTTACTTACAATATACTTCCAGTTTAGTTAGGTAATATATCCTTCTGGGGTCTTTGATGGAGTTGAAGAAAGATAGTTATAGTTAACTTTTCCTTAGTTATGATAAAAGATAAATAGAAAAGGGGAGACGATGTGGGATGTCCTTCTGTATGCTGCAAATATGTGTTGCTTTTATTGGTTGATAAATAGGCTGTTTGGGCCTATGACAGGGAAGAAGAATATAGCTAGGTGGGAAATCCAAACAGAGATAGAGAAAGAAGGCAGAGTCAAGCAGACGCCAGGGAAGCAAGATGTGAGCTAACAAGTCACGAGCCATCGTGATAAAATATAGAATATTAGGAAAGGAAATGGCTTAATTTATATGTAGAGCTATCCAGTAAAAAGCCTGAGCCATCGGACAAACAATTATAATTAATATTAAGCCTTAGTATGGTTATCTGGGAACTGGTGGGTGGGACAAGAAGCCTCCACCCACAGATGGGTTGGAGCGAAAGCTCAAGAGCACAAGTTGTTCTTCTGAGAGACATGGGCTCGGTTCCCAGCACCCGTGACGGGCTGCCTGTGACCACCTGTAAATCTAGCTCCAAGGAACCCAGGCCCTCTTCAGACCTGCTCAGGCACCTGAACACGTGTCATACAAGCATAGCAACACAAAAATTTTTATTCTTTAAATTATTTTATTTAATGTATATAGATGTTTTACCTGTATGTATGTATATACACCAAGTGTGGGCCTGGTGTCTGCAAAGGCCTGAAGATGTTGGATGCCCTGAAACTGGAGCCACAGATCATTTTGAGCAGCCACATGGGTGCTGGGAATCAAACTCAGATCCTCTGGAAGAGCAGCCAGTGCTCTTAATCACCGAGCCATCTCTCCAGCCCTAAATCTTGTGGTTTTGTTTTTATGTGTGGAAGGTTGGGGAATTGTTGCCAACTACACATCAGACATAGGATTAATATCTAAACACTATAAAGAATTTTTTTAGAAACACTAAAAAAAAATCACCCATTCAATAAATGGTATAAAGAACCAAAAAAAAAAAAAAAACCCAACAAACAAAAAAAAAAAACAAAACAAAAAAAAAAACAAAAAGAGTTCTCAAAAGGAGAAATACAAATGTGTAATAAATAGTTGAAAAGGTGTCTGGGGACCCACACAGTAGAGAGAGAGAACCAACTCCTAGTTTCCCTTTGACCTCCACACCTGTACTGTGGACAGGAATGCCAACCCTCCACACCCATATGGTGGAAGGAGTTGTCCTTTTACTTCCACAGTTCCTTGAGATAGATAGATAGATAGATAGATAGATAGATAGATAGATAGATAGATGCAATTTTAAAAAAAAAAGAAAGAATTTGGCATCCTTAGCCACTAGAGAAATGTAAATTAAAACTACTCTGAGATTTTACCTCATGCCAACAAGAGTAGCTATCACAAAAAAAAAAAAAAAAAAAAAAAAAAAAAAAAAAAAAAAGCAACAGACGCTGACAGGAAGGAGGGGAAGAGGAGCTCTGCTCATTGTTCAGAGATAGAAACCTGTGCAGTAGCTATGGGAGTCGGTGTGGGCATTCCTCAAAAACTACAGGTAGAGCTACTGTATGAGCCACACATACTCATCTACGTCAACAGCCAGGGATGAGAATTTCATCATCTGTGGAAACAGATGCAACTGTAAATCATGACGTTAAGTAGAGTCAACTAAACACAGAAAAACAAATACTGGCATACATGGAACCCAGGTTAAAGCTGTGCGTGCAGGTCACAATCTAGGAAGGGAGATGGAGCAGAGGTAATAAGAGAGCAGAAAGAGGACTCACAGGGAGGTGACAAGCCTGCTCCAGGTGGGAGGAAAGCAAGACAGGCGAAGGCAGTGGGCAGGGAACACAGGAAAACACGGTAAAATGACACAGAGGTGTGAAGACGTCACTTTGCATGGTAATCTAAAAACATAACTTAAAATATACTGCCATTAATCAATAAGTACATCTGTGCATACAAAGGCAAACAAACACAGCCACGTACCAGAGGTAAGCGCTTCACTGCAGCCAGGTATTGTAGTAGCCCCTTTGCGTGGTAAATCGTAGGGTGCAAATCTGGGTTTGGACTTTGCCACTGTCTGTTCAAATCCTCTCCACTTAAAGAGCATCGATGACTACACAGTCGACAAAGACAGAAAATACGAGTGCCACAGACAGTCACATACACTTCTGATTCAACTTTGTGACTTATCCCAGTTAAGTATTCAAGTAAATGCCAACAGCGCTCAACTGAACTTACATAGTATTCATTAAGTAAACACATATCCATCATTTGCTATATGTAAAATCTTATGTCATGTTTTTGTAACAATGATGATTTCAAATTTAAAATAAACTTTTTAAAGTTACAAAAAATAAATTGCCAATTCTAGGCTTTTCCTCTGTACTTACAAAATTTATTAAAGGAGACATTCTCTATTGACTAAACACTAACCATTTGCTATACTAATTCTATATGCTGAGTGCATAACTTGTCTTGTACATGTGCTATGTGAGCCCTCCATCTGAGAAAGGCAAATGTATGAAAATCATACAGTCTTGAAAACTGTAAATACATCTCCATCTGCTCACGGGAACTGTGTACCAATGTTGTCATCCAGCAGAACACACTCTACAATCACATGACTAACAACGGAAGCAAAGTTGATATACTAAAGACCTTTCTCATATCCTGACATAGCTTCCTAAAACAATTCAAGAAAGGTTATATGAAATCACATTCTCATGGAATCATAACACTGACACATGCATTTAAAAGTTTATCTTTGATGAATGACTCACAGAAACTTGATTTCTTCTAGAAAAAAATCATCAAATCCATTTTCTGAATTAACTTGAGCACTATTAGAACAATAAATTTATATACAGACACCATAACAATCTATGATGTTCCTGTAAGTACTGCTTAACTTACTTTCCATTGATGACACCATCTGGATTTAGCATAGGAACAATTTTAAAAATGTAGGACTCCCTTAAGCTCTGGGCGGTGGGGCTATTACTCATGAGGTACTCCAGGGTTCCTTTCATGACCCAGCTTGCATTAGTTTCTCCAGGATGGACCCGAGCAGACAGGAAAATGTAAGGGCGATTTCCTAAGGTGCACATAAAATCTCAATTAAAATGAACAGTTACTACAAATCTGAATGACATTTCTCTCTGGTGTGAATTCTGATGGAGCCTTGGGGAAACTCACTATGAACATTCACACACACACTCTGCACTGGCCCTACAGAGAAAGACACAGGGAATGCAGGTGAGCTGCCGTGTGAGGGACCTTGTGACAGGAGCACACAGAGTCCTAACGAGAGGATACCACCTGGGAAAGTTTAAAATGCAAATTGTATTTCATAAACTCACAGAGAGAATGAAAATATTAGCAATCTAAGTCTGTATGCTAGCACAGTGAGACAGCGTGTCATGGTGCATTTACACGGTCCTACAATCACTCAACTCACTACCCCACATCCATGCACAGCATTCCTTTGTTGTTGTTGTTAATTTCAAATACTTATCACAAATTGAACTATGTTCTTATTTTTATTACCTGAGCTGTAAAATTGAGGTAATTTTTAAATTTTAAATAATGGGGGGAAAACAAGTAGCTATTTAGTGCTAGCTATCAAAATATTTGAACTCTAAAAATCCTGTTGTATTTTTGCTTCAGAATGATTTCTAGAAATAAGAACTAAAAAACATGATTATCAAAGGAGTCCTGAGAGGAAATCTCAGGACTCTCTCACTTCCCAAAGGAGACAACTGAGGCGTAGAGTAGGTCTACAACTACGAGTAGGACCAAGACTAGAATCCAAATCTTCTCATGCCTGCTCTTAGTGTTTTCCATTCTAAAATACATAGAAAGCAAACATAAGGAGAATGATTGGCATGTTGAGTGAAGAAGACAGACTTACTGAATTGACAGATGTGTTCATAGTAATTGGACTCTGGCATTGCTGTGATGGTCACCAGGGGACAGCTGTTTCCAGACAAGGTCTCACACAGCACATCCTTTCGGAAGTAAATCTGCTGAGGATTATGTGCTGATTCCAACTGCTGAAGATGCATCTTGACAAAAGTTTAAAAGCAAAGTATACAATCATTTCAAAATTTGCTACTGATATATGTAGATAACGCATCTAGATACCCTCAGAACCAGAAGCTAACCCGGTTCCCAAAACTCTCACTAAAACCCTCAAGGCCAAACATAACACAAGCAGCAACCTGTGCAGGACAGGAGCAAGGTACCACCTGCTAGTTTTACCCAGCACAGCAGCAGGGCTTCCTGAAGTGGAGTCAATATTCTAAATGAGTTCACACAAGCTCAGCTCAGCCTTTGCTGCCAATTTGAGCTGGGAAAAAGCATTTGTTCTGCAAAGCACTTAGAATGCTGGAATTATAACTAAAGCTGCATAATAGCAAGCTAAAATTACATACCACAAATTATGAACAATTCCTTCTGATTTCAAGATTAGTAATATATATGCAATAATGAGCACATATGTATGAATGTACACATACAATATGCATATATTACTACTTTTCTAGGATGAAGAAATGTCCATGCTATGAGCCTGTCACCCTCTACTAAAACACAGCAAGGCTCGGATGGTGTCCTTAGCCTTCCATCTCTGCTCTACAGGCTTGGGATGACTTACAGTCATGTATTTCATCATCCCCCAGTACCCCTGCCACTAGAACAGAGATTTTTGTTGTGAGGATAAATGTGGTGATATACTATTTATGATTTATTAAAGCTTGCCTGAGGATTCAGAAAGCAAAGTCAGCCTCAAGCTATAAAAATCAGGCAGTGGTGACAAACACCTTTAATCCCAGCAGCCAGAAGCTAGGAGGTGGTGGTATACACCTTTAATCCTATGACTCAGGATTAAGAGGGAGACGGATCTCTGTGAGTCCAAGGCCACCCAGATCTACACAAGATTGATCCAGTCCTAAAGAGAAACAGCTCACACAAAGATTATATCAGCATCTGGGATCACATGTCTTTAATGCCAGCACTAGAAGGGCATAAAAGATAGGAGCAGGGTCTTCAGTAGTCTATATCAGGGAGTCACTCTCCAGCCACATTGAGGATAGGAAGACCCTGAAGTCTCAGGATTCTCCAGCCATGTTGAAGAGAGCATAGCCATCCTGGGATTACAGTCTGAGGGTGGTGGAGACATGATCAGTCCTTTCAGTCTGAGGTAGAGTGAGAGCTAGTACCAGGCTGCTTTGCTTTTCTTATCTTCAGCTTGAAGCTTGAACCCCAATATCAGTCTCTGGGTCTTTTGTTACTCATGCAATATTTGGCACCCAATGTGGGGCACAACACCATGCCGCTGGGATTAGGAGTCCCATGCTCTACCGTCTGAGCAAGCAGATAAATCTGCCACAGCTGGCTGTTTGCTCACTTTATTTAGCTTTAGTTTTGTTGTATAATACAGACATCCAGCAATCTAACAGCTTATATTCACATTCTAAGGAACTGGAGCCTCTGATTACAGAATGAACCTAGTTCTAATACCAAAAAATTAATTTTCCTACAGAAAAATTCAAATGTGGCCATACTTTGCTACTGTTACATTTTTCTACAAGATTTAGTGCTTTTAGTTAAACTGAAAGTATCAACTTCCACACATGATAAATAAAATTTACATAGATTTTCCTTCCTTCCTCCTCCTCCTCCTCTTCCTCCTCCTCCTCTTCCTCCTCCTCCTCTTCCTCCTCCTCCTCTTCCTCCTCCTCCTCCTCTTCTTCTTCTTCTTCTTCTTCTTCTTCTTCTTCTTCTTCTTCTTCTTCTTCTTCTTCTTCATTTTTCCAAGATGGGGCTTCTTTATGTAACAGTCCTAACTGTTCTGGAATTCTCTCTGTAGAACAGGCTGGCCTTGAATTCACAGAGTTCTGCCTGCCTCTGCTTCCCCAGTGCTGGGACTAAAGGCCTATGCCACCATCACCTGGCTCTTCCTATTTCTTTTTAAAATTATTTTCATGTGTGGAAGCATGGGGGGTGAGCAAGTGTGCACACGTGTGCAGATCTGCTCACTCATGGGTGTCAAGTTTCCATTGCTTCTCTATCTTTACTTTTGGTTTTCTTTTCTGAGACAGAGTGTCTCACTAAACTGGAACCACATACCCAGGATCCAGCTCTTTTGCCCCAGCACTGGGGTTCAGGGGATCACCAGACCATATCTGTTTTCTGTGTGGGTGCTACTGATCCAAACTTGGGCCCTCGTGCTTGTGTAGTGAGCACTTTATACTCTGAGCCATCCCCAGGCTTTCGCAGTTACCGCATCGTCACATTTCTACCTATAACGTTTGGTGATCCCTGAACCTTCCGTGTTGTATTAATTTATTTAACCACAACCAACTTATTTCCAATTATCTGATATTTACTCATAATACAAAGTGATGTTGGTGAGTTTACAGCCCGTGTCTCTCACCTGCAGAGTTGAATATGTGTATGGATAGTGATAGGCAAAATAGCAGACGTCATCTTTATGCGGGAAGCTCACGGTGAATGTGATGGTATAGTAGGACTTGCCCTTCTGTCCCCCTGCAGCAACTGAGCTTCTAGAGAAGTGATTTCTGCGATTCAAAATACAAAGCACTTGATTTTCCATGCAGAGATGTTCTCATTTTCCTCTGATAATTTTATAAATTAGAATTTCAAAGAGAAAGAGAAAACCCCAGTGGATAGTCGGTTTCACCGAACTGTTTTTAGTCAACAGACACTATGTTACTTTTCTATTGCCATGAGAGTTTATTTAGGGCTTACCGTTTGAGGTTATAGTCCATCATGCTATGACCACCATGGCGGGGAGCACAGTACCAGGCGGCCAGGCACTGAAGCAGTAGCTCAGAGTTAACAAACCGATCCATGAGCACGGGGCAGAGAAAGAGCACACTGGGGTGGGGTTTTGAAACTTCAAAGCCTGCCCCCAGTGGCACACCTCCTCCAACAAGGCCACACCTCCTAACCATTCCCTAACAGTTCCACCAACTAGAGACCAAGTTTTCAAACAGGAGCAGCAGGAGCACGTGGAGAAGGTCGTCCCTCATGCCGTCTGCCAGCACTGCTCTCTCTCTTCTCTAGACTGAGCACAGCATAGCACATGGCCCTCACAGCCTCCGCGTCAGTGACTCTCTTTACATCTTGACAGTGCTCAGCCATGGCAGCTCCATGGCTCCAGCATGTCACCATAACGAGGGAAACAGCCAGAAAGAGTGGTCCAGGAGCACCATCCTCCTGAGCTGTCATTGAAACTCTACAAGCACTGTAAGTGGAGATCAGGGTATACATTTGCTCTGTTTCTGCTGATCTTGATGACAAACATGGACTGACAGAACCCCACTGACATGAAGCCATTTCTTTCCCAGAAAGTGACAGCATTTAACACCTAGGTTTTTCCAAAAACAAGCAGAAACCATTAAATCTGTGTAAAATCTACAAGTCATCATCTTCAGACAAAGCTTTAAAAGGAGGAGCACAACATTAAAAGTCAAAATCACTTTATGGAAAACTCAAGACTAACAAGATGGAAACCAGCAACCAAGAGAGGTAAACACCAAGGTCAAAATTATGAGCATACAAAACTTTGTGTGACTGATGGGAAATGATCATTAAAAACTAGAATGTCAGGATTTAGTTTAGATGCAGAGGTTTTCAAACTGAAGCACGTCCTCTCCTGTTTACCATTTATGTTCCAAGAGAAGGCCACAGGGAATCTGAAATCTCACGTGAACAGACAGTGGGCTCAGTTACAAAGGCTTAGCTATCAGGCAGCTCACAGCCAAGGGTATCCTCCAGGGGTATGAAGAGACTATTCCCTTAGTGAACACACAGGGGAAGGCAGAGTCCATGCTGAGAAAGGGCAAATCTGTGCCCATCTGAGAGGTGGGACAGAATTGTGAGTCAGATACTTATATAGGTTAAATCTTAAAGTTTAATCAGAAAGTATGTGTTCATTAGTAAAATATTTCTGAAAAGACATCAGCAAACTGTAATCGTTGGCCCCTCTACCAAGGAAAGGTGTGACTCACTCACAAAATAGCCTTTCCAGTTGTCACACTGAACCACACCTGCTAGCTTTCCAAACCAGGGAACGCACACAAACAACCCCAGGGTGCTGACAACTACATGAAGACAGGAATCATGTGTTTTTAACATATTTTTATAGGAAATAAAATAAGCATTGTAAAATATAGTGGAGTTATCGGGAACATTTTACAAATACAATTAGAGTCAAATGAGAATCAAGGACTTAATAATTCTAGATTGTTTAGAAGCAAAGCTGCAGTCACAAATAGGAGATCTACACCATACACAACACATACCCTTCCACACAAGCTCAGGGAGCACTTCAGAAGAAAAGAGAGGAAAGATTCTAAAATCTCGAGGTCACGGAGGAAAGAAGAGGAAGCACAGCAGTGAGGCTGCCTGCACACAACCAAGCCAGTGCACACGGCTAACAAGCCTCCACACCAGTCAGGGACTATGGTTATCTGATGGCTTCTGGAGGAGAGAGCTGTTTCTGTGTGGCCCCTGGTAGGTCAATCATGCTCCAGTGGATGTCGCCCACACGGGTATATGGGCAGCACAAATTGGACTCCATAGGACTCCAAGAGGCGGAAGAGGAAAAAGAAGAAGGAAGAGACAAAGTTGGGGGCTTTAGGGAGACAGGACTGGGGGTTGAGAGGAGTTAGAGGAAGGGGTAGGAGTTGACTAGGATAAAAAAATACATATTTATGAAATTCCCAAAGAGTTAATAAAAATTAGGGTTACTATGACCAAAGTAACTTGGGGAGAAGGAGTTTATTTGGCTTACACTTCTACATCACTCTTCATCACTGAAGGAAGTCAGGGCAGGAACTCACACAGGGCTGGAACCTGGGGGCAGGAGCTGATGCAGAGGCCATGAAGGGGGAGGGCTGCTTACTGGCTTGCTCCTCAGGGCTTGCTCAGCCTGCTTTCTTAGAGAACCCAGGACCACCAGCTCAGGGATGGCCCCACCCAAATGGGCAAGTCCCTCCCCCATTGATGCAGTGCAGGCTTGCCTAATCTTGGAGGCATCCTCTCAATCAGGCTCCCCGTTTCCCAGTCACTTTAGTGTGCGTATAGTTCAGTGTTACACTGAAGCAGAATGGAATACCCCAGTACTCAGCTTCTGTAACAATACTTACTTGTAGTAACAAATGTCAGTGCCCATACGAATCCACCACGGTCTGGCATTTAGAGCTTCCTGAACTGAATACATGAGTGGTTGCATACCTTTGGAAGAGGAGAGGAGAGGAAAGGAAATATTCTTTTCAGAATTGTTGATGTAAAAATGAATCTTGCATTTCTAGAAGGCACCAAAAATTCAGGAAGGCTGAAATATAGTGCATCTCATTATTTTAGGATGTATTAAGGAAATTTGAGAGAGTCCTTAAATTATAATTTAACCAATAATAACCCCCTTTTAAATTCTAACTAAAATGGAATAACTTTAGGTTGAATTGCTACCAATTTTTCCTGCTAAATTGTATGTATTCATTCAATCAGATAATTTACTCCTTGTAAAAAGTAAAATAGTTAAACATACATAAACACACAAGAATCTAGGGAGATGGCCTTAACGGTAAATCGTGTCACCCAGATGTGAGGTTCTGTGCTCCAGTTCCCAGAACCAGAACCCATGTAGAAACTGGATGCAGCATCACACGTCTGTAACCCAGTCTTTTAGATGATGGGAGGAAGCTCAACCAGCTAGGCTAGCTGAGGAAACAATCCACAACCAAGAAAAGACCCTGCCTTAAGCAAAGAAAAAGACTAGCTAGCGCCTGAGACCATCCTAACCTCCACACAGGCATAACGGTGTACATGCCCGCACTCAAGAGCACACACGTACACACACAAGTATGCACAAGCACACACGCACATGCATGCACGCACAAACACAATGGACAATCACCTCGTTTCTCCATCGAGTACCATATGCAGTGAGTAACTTCCATGTTTGTTGTCATTCCTTCTCTACTTAAGTGTTAACATAGGGTGGTGTCTTGGCTAGTTTTATGACAATTTGGTACAAGCTAGAGTCATCTGAGAGAAGGGAATCTCAACTGAGAAAATGCCTCCATAAGACCGTGCTGTAGGGCATTTTCTTAATTAGTGATTGATGGGGAGGGCCCAGCCCATTGTGGGTGGTG